CCTTTCGCAATTCAAAGTTGCCTTTGCTACTCGTCTGACGAAACAAAACACAACCACTCGTGTAGAACGATTCCACTTTTGGGGCTTAAACTAAAACCTGGCTGTTCTATAAATTTTTTTGTTTTATCGTTTGCATCCATGAGTATTGTTTGCAGTACGCCTATATACATGGAAATTATTATTACGAATTTCACAAATGAGCAAATATATAGTTTTAAGTAACTTAAGTCAGACAATCATGGCGATACCAAATTTCGTCTAATTTCAATTTTGTGAGAGCTTTATGTTCGTCTTGTCAAGCTATTTTTCTTTTATTAAACTTTTATTTGATCTTAGCCAAAGTTTATTATTTTTTTCTTCTTTTATCAGAAAAAGACAGTTGGACGCGACGTGTGGCATATAATTTTATAATTGTAGCCATTTCCAAAATGGTAAAGTGTGTTCTACGAATACCATAGACACCCGGTGCTACGAACAAGTGCTACGCCGCAATAGTTTGCGTTGCGCAAATGATTTATAATTTTAATTATTTATTATGTTCTAAATTACTAAATAATGAAGTAAAATGAAAAAAGAACGAAATAAAAATGACGACCTGGTCAAGGTAGCAGGGAAACGCTGGATTCAACTAGCGAACGACCGGTCGTACTGGAACTCTATAGGGAAGGCCTATGTCCAGCAGTGGACACTGAACGGCTGAATCGAAATCGAAAAAAATATGTAAAATAAAATAATATCATATAACTTAAACTTACTTTAATTGTTATTTATAAATCATTTGCACTATGACAATAATAGATTAATTATAGTACATGTATTTTTTGCCAAGTTTATTCGCGTTTCGGCTTCAGTCTGTGGATTTCCAAATATCCAAAGCCAAAAACGGTCAAATTGCACTTTGTTTATATGTTAAATCGCCAGGATATTTGACACACAACCACGTAAACCCCCATGCTTGTTAAAAAAAAACATATATACACTTTGGGAGCCATAAAAATTATGCATGAAATTTAATTTATATGATCTAAATTGCAACTATAAGCCGCTTCAGGTTCCTTACTAAATTAAACCATCTTAATATACTACAGTCAGATTGCAAGTAGTATCTAATACCAGGCAATCGTTAGTAGCGAGGAGTAAAGTTAATAATATGTTCATGGGTTACTTACAATGTTCTGGAATCTAAATTGCGAATAGCTAACATTTCATTTGTCGTAATCGATTTAGATCTTTTTTATGAGAGAAAAGGATAAACAAGCGTGAGGTTCCTTTAATAGAAGGTAAAATAGCCGAGCCATACAACATGAACCGAACCGCGATTTATTTATACGACTTTTTCATCTCATACAGATTGTCCAGTTGAAGTCCAAAATTTTTCAAGAAACTTGTAAATTAGAAAGAAGATGTACTGCATATGGATTTAACAATTCTTAAATGTATGCGTTTATTTATATGTTATATTTACATTTGATATATACGATGTAAATAACAAGACGTTGCTGACAAATAAATTATATTCAGTTGTGTTGATAACTGTTTTTTCATGATCGATAATGATGCAGTAATAAGTACTGAGAGCTTTGTACTACCTGCCACTCGCTTGAGAGATGATGGCGGTCCGACCGGGATAGTGTAAATAACAATGGAAATAAATATCCCTAGGTATAGTCACGAAAGTTTATAAGATACTCGAAACCAATGAGTTCTGGTTACTACTAAACATTTCGAAATATTGATTTTGAAATTAACATAATCGTTGTGGGATAAAAAAAGTGTAAAAGATATTGAAAGTACGATAAATATGATCGGCTATGCTCAATATTCTAATAATCTAAACGGTGATTACACGATGAGGTTACCCTGTGTTAAATTGGAGAATATTAAAGTTACTAACATACGTGCATACGATACTCAAATAAAAGTACTAAGTCTTTTTATATATATTTTTTTTAAGCGTCATTATCATGACAGAACAGTATATAAAACATGTGTCAGCGACTTGGTCCGCGAGAATCTTTATTTTGGGCATCTAAATTCGTTTTTGCAAACCCCTTCACCTTTATGAACTTTAACTGTTACCCACGACGTCGGTCGCGTCCCTTTCCGTCGTTCTTGGTTAATCTCAAAAGTTAGATAATATATAACATCGCGGACTTTTTTTAGATAATTTAAAGAGGAGTCATCATTTCATACATATTTTTTGTATCTTGAATAGTAAATAATTTTTACAATTTTTTTTCACATTCCTCGCTGTAACTCCTTTTCCGTTTTATAGCTTTTCTCGATAATTTTAATTCTCACCCGTAGTTCCTGAGATTAGCGCGTTCACACATACAAACTCTTCAGCTTTATATATTGATATAAAACACTTGTACTCGCATTCTGTACGGCCTCTAGTTTACGCGAGTAGTACCAACTTCGACGAAACAGATGGCACTGTGTAGCAATTTTTACTTTGACGTCAGAGACATTCTCCCTGTATAGTCTCCCCGAGACCACGGCTGCTGCAAAGCATCCGAAACATCGGAGCGTAGTTAAAAATAATTTTCAAATAACTAATATATATCGCGTTTTAAACCATTAAAGTGTTTTAATTAAACTTGTATTCTCTACAATTTTATTTTATATATTCGCAGAGATCATTATTACTGTAACAATAGTAAAGCAATTTTTTTACTGAGGATATTTGATTGCAAGAATTCAAACGGTTAAAACAGAATACCGCCAGTACACGCGTGTAAAAGTAGTTAATAATTATAATTACCGTTAGTGAAGTGTCAGTGCAGTATGTCAGAAGCAAAACACAAGTTGTGACTCGCACTGCTCCTCGCTTCGTGAGGATTCATTAAAAGTTATGAAACTCCACGAGACACAACAGCTAATTTAATTTAGACTGTGCCGCACACATCAGTATTACAAGTTTTTTAAAAATCAAACAAAAAGGTAATAAAAATAACTGGAAAACTCATATAATGTATAAATTACATGTATTTGTGTTTATTATAAGTTTTAGTAAGTAAGTAGGTAAAGTCCTTTTTCTGCTGCCACGCATTCCTTTTTTATTACTGAATTTTCATTTCTACCACGGTTCTTTGGAAGAGATAGCTATTTAGCTATAAAGTCGCCGTTTGTCCTTAATTTCCATCAATTTTTATATTATTTTTTTTTGTTGTTTTGTTTTGTGACAATAAAGAATATTTGTATTTGTATGTATACTTAGTTCTTAATTTTATAAAAAATAGTACTTAAACAAACCCACACAGGACAACTTTAATATTTGCCAATAAAAAAATGTAAAACGTATTCTTAAGAAGAAATATAGCGTTCTTCTTAAGAATACGTTTTAAATTTTTCAGTGATAACTATTTACCTATGTCAAGCAATGTAACTACATATGTATATATTTTATTTAAGAGTTAAATATGTAAGTTTCATAGCATAACTTCCTCTAACGTTGTTCTAGAAATATCTTACAAGTTCCAAGCACGATCAAATTTATAATTGAATCGAAAACTATTATGTTCAGGGGTAGACCTATAGCACAAAATAATATAATGATTATTTTAAATAACTGTGTGGTAATACTCAAAATAGAGTTACTTTTTAGGGTTATAAATTTTACGTAAGCATTATACTTACATCGTAACACGGAGGTATAAGTACATCTTTGATCATTAACTTAAAATATTGTCTGCTTTTGACCTTTCCGACGGGGTCGTAGCAATGTGGAGCTAATTATCAAGGGGTCTTGGGTTCGATCTCCAACAGATGCAACGAGTAATCAATTTATAATTTCTGTTAAAGAGATGTCCGTCGGAATAAATCTTGTCTGGGTTACGAACCACCTTACGATCTACAGATGAAAAAGCCAAGTTTAATCGAATTTCAGTTTTAATCGTAGGACACGCGCATATTTCTTTGTGTTGTTTAACCATTAAGAATGTAATTTTAAAACACTATGGTAATAATCCTTTATTGGCTTTTTGTATCAAAAGTTAGTAGAAGTTAGACTTCTTTGAAATATCAAACTTGAGGTAAAACTGTCTGTTCCAGTCCAAAACAAAATCAAGTTTATATACGTTATAGTTAAACGTTAAACTTTTTAAAATTAAAATAACTTTTTACATCTAACATCAACTTAGTACTACTTAATTAATATAATAATAATAAAATGTTTATTATCTCTCTATATTCGAATTACAACTTTCAATTGTGTTGGAGAAATGGGAAAATTATGTATTTTATCATAATTTTATTTTGGAATAAATAGTTTCACTTATTTTCTCATAGTCAGATCTAATATGGATATATTTTGTAATTTGCTTTCATTGAAGCAACAACCTCAGTTGCTACTGTACCATCACAACACTAATAATCCACATTCCAGGTTCATGGATTACCTCAAATGCTTTGTTTTTATAATTTTGTCCACAGTGTTTAAACAGCTAAGGACAACAGGGCCTCCGCTTCCTTGGTCAGAAGGGACCTGGTCTACTTATTCACAATTATATATATGTACTTAATTTATTAAATATACTTATATACTTATGCTTAACTTATTATTAAGTTGTGTATTATTAATTTATATTATGTCTAATACTGCTCTCATTTTCTAAGCCAGTCTATTATTTTACAGCAATTCTTATAGAATATGGGTCGTAGTTTTGTATCATTAAGAAACAATTTAAAATTTTCCAGTGCTGTTAATGTATTTGTTGATGCTTCGACGTCCATCATCGAAATAATGCTTACAGGGCATTCAGTCAGGCAGTGTATCACACTTTGCGGTGTTGATCCGTCACAGGAACATGTCATGTAGAGAGGAGAAAAACCTTAAAAACATATATATCACTCACTTGCTATTGTTGAAAAAATGATTTACATGTAGATGTCAACAAGATAGGTGAGACAGGATTGTTAGCCCTGACAGTTTTGCATAATAGTTTAATGGCTAAATTATGGCCCTGAAAAATAAATACAATCATGATAGATTTCCTTCATCATGTCCCCACATACTTGACACTCAATATACCTATAGAATAGATGCAGTTTGGTATTAAACTTGGTATTGCATTCTCCACTAATCTTCTCCTGTTATTGGTTTCAATTTCCTCTTGCGATTCCATATTTTTTGTTACTGCAAAATAACTTCCATGTTTTCCTTCATTTTTTTTTTGGACTTTTGGGAAAAACATCTATATAAATCTTGACTAAAAAAGATTGTGTGAAAAAATTTTCCCTCAATCAATCAAATATTATCAAAGTAGATGTCTTTTAAGTCAGCTAATACTACACAAATAATTGTAATAATAAAAAAAATATGAAGCTAATAAATTTGTCAAAAATTTTATATTTATACTTTAAAGTTTTACCACCACTTATTGTAACATATTGTAACATAATATACTAATATTTATTTCAAAATATTATACTCAAATTATCGACACAATATAGTATGTATAGCAGACCATTCATTTGATGTTGATAAACATGACGGGCAAATTTCAAACACAAATTGTCCGGTTTTAGTGTTTTTTTTTTTGGTAAATATTTATGACAATGATATATCAAAATTTACTTACATGTAAAATGTAACACCATGCTTTCGTAAATTTGAAGTGCTAGATCTCTTTTTAAAACAAAAAACACGCAACCTGGCATTTTTGTAGAAGTAATGTCGACTCGGTCTACTTAAAAATGTGACCAATATTAGTTAAATGTTACTTGCATTGTACATTTGAGATTTTGCTTTGACAGAGGGGAAGCGCTGCGAAAGGCTCCACCCTACCCTTCTTGCTCGAAAGTCTAACAAGGAGCCTTGCCATAAGCTATTCAGCAAATAATATAATAGTATTTTTATAATGCCTTAAACGACAGCTGATAAGTGACACAAGATGTAAACAAATATGGCGTATTCAAAACCACAGATTTGATCGAATCTGTAACTGTTAAATCCACCCATAGATAATATATAAAATTGTTGACAAAATCTTACTAAAAGGCTTAAAATCTGTCTACTAACTAGTCGTCACAAGACTGTGATGGTTTTAATTAATTTAATTCTTATTACTGGCAGCACTACAATATAACCTATTGTAACGTTAACTTCTACTATATTCTCTGCTTATATACATATACATAGAACTACTATATATTACATAATATGACTTTGGTCCATCTGTACTGAAGTCATACTCTGTAGCTTTTAAAATAAACCGAACACCGAAAGTAAGCAGATGATAAATATTATAATTATTTGTAATTAGGCGACGGCAATAGAGATATATAAAATCAATGTGACGGTGATTCTAATAATAAAACTTAAGTTTTGTTTTTTTTTTTCAGAAAGCACCTTTAATAATAACTTCCCGCGTTTTTGGACACTACCAATATTCAGAAAAAGGAAAACCCTAAATCAATGTTGCACTATTAAATTAACCTAAGACAGGACAGATAAAATTTAAAGGTATTTTAATAATTATACTTAAAGTGTTAAGTATGTCCAAATATTACTTTTTGCTTATTATACTTTCTATTTATTTATTGTATTAACCGTGAATAATAATATTTGCATTTTAATAACGTACTATAGTAAAGTACGTTATTAAAATTAATATATGGTTTTATTTGTCGTTTAGTGACTAATATTTATATTTTATTGATAGTTAATAATATTTTGAATATCCTATAAAAGTATTATATCGACATCTTTGTTTTTATTAAGTTACTCAATAAAATCATTAACACTAAATATTCAATAAATGCATGCCTCAAGATTATATACTCTGTGTTGACACATAGACAACTTCTTGACACCCGACGCCATTTATTCTCCTTTTTGTAAGTTGCTATTGCTGTTGCTAACGCCATTTTTGTTATTCACTCGAAGCTCCATAAGGTGATTTTTTTTTACTCATAGGAAAACCACACAAGTGCGAAAGAGAAAAGAGATCTCATGTACTGTACGAAGCTTCTACTTAACCGAATATTTTCTACAAAGCTTATTTACGACGTTTCTCATTGTCTATGTTCTAGATACGCATCCCGAGCGATACATACGGTTTAAAGCGTTTACTGACAAATGTTTAGTAAAAATGAAGGAAAACGCTGTACTTAAGTGGCAAAAAGTGTACAATCCTACCGGACCGCAACCCCGTCCCAGACATGGCCATCGCGCGGTTGCCATAAAGGATTTGATGATAGTTTTCGGCGGCGGAAATGAAGGAATAGTTCATGAGCTTCACGTCTTCAATACCACTACAAACCAATGGTTCGTGCCCGTTACTAAAGGTGAGGTGCCACCGGGATGCGCCGCTTATGGGTTTGTCGTGGACGGAACGCGCCTACTAGTTTTTGGCGGCATGGTAGAGTACGGCAAGTATTCTAACGACCTCTATGAATTACAAGCCTCTCGATGGGAATGGAAGCATTTGAAACCTTTGCCGCCGAAGCAGGGACTTCCTCCATGTCCTCGGTTGGGTCACAGCTTTACTCTACTTAACGGTAAAGTATACCTTTTCGGAGGTCTGGCTAATAAGAGCGACGATCCTAAAAACAATATTCCTAGTTATCTCAACGATCTATATACACTTGAGCTATATCCGAATTCGTCGATGACAGTGTGGGATATTCCTCTAACATATGGTCAATCACCACCCCCACGCGAGTCTCATAGTGGCGTGGCTTACACAGATAAAATCACAGGAAAGTCTTCACTGATAATCTACGGTGGAATGAGTGGTTCGCGTCTCGGAGATCTCTGGGTCTTAGATGTTGACAGCATGTCATGGTCTCGACCTGAGCTCCATGGCATTTCACCTCTGCCTCGCTCCTTACACACTGCTACTGTAATTGGACACCATATGTATGTCTATGGAGGCTGGGTCCCTCTTGTTCCCGATGAATCCAAACTTGCCACTCATGAGAAAGAGTGGAAATGTACAAATACCCTAGCTTCTCTCAACTTGGAAACTATGACATGGGATGATATCTCTCTTGATAATTTTGTTGAAAGTGTACCGAGGGCCAGAGCTGGCCACAGTGCAGTAGCTATACAAACAAGATTATATATTTGGTCAGGTAGAGATGGATACAGGAAAACATGGAATAACCAAATTTGTTGTAAAGATTTGTGGTACCTAGAAGTAGGAGTACCACCACAAGCTGGACGAGTGGCATTGGTCAGAGCTGGAACAACCTCACTTGAATTATGCTGGCCAGCCATGAATACTGTGACAACATATCTGCTGCAAGTCCAAAAGTGTGGTAAAGTGACACCTGCCAGATTTCCATCCGCATCTGATCCAGTTACTGCTCCACCACCTGCATCCCCCATAGCCTCACAGCCAGATGCAGCAAAAGCCTTTGGTCTTATGTCACCCATTTCATCATTACCTCCAACCGCTGCTGAGGTGCCTGCCCGTCCTACAGTCGCCGTCGCTTCGCCAGCTCCCACTACACCGCAAAAGGTTGTATCAGGCTCCATCAAAGTACCAACTCAAGCCACTGCAGTGAAGATTGCCCCTAATACTCCTATGAAACCATACGCCGGTAAAACTATGGCTAAATCACCGGCAGCAGGATCATCACAACAAATAAAGGTAGCTGCAGTCACCCCCCAGGGCGTCACAAGAATCGTCAGTGGAGTCGGCACTCCCGCTACGGTTCGAGTTTCGACGCCGCAGTCAAATGCACAGATAGTTCTCGGCTCACCTGCCGGATCCAGCACACCCCGTTTCGTGCAGGTGAAGACAGGCACTAGCGGAGGCGTACCAGTGAAGCTGGGCACCGGTAATACTGTAAAGTTGGCCGGAAACACCTTAAAAATTGGCGCAAATTTACAAGGAAAGCTAACTAACAGTGTTCAGAAAGTCACAACATCTAATGTACCCTTAAAACTGAGTGCAGGAAATGTAAAAATCGGTACCAGTAATGTCCTAGTAAAAAGTGCGGGTGGAGTACCGATTCAAGCCGGTGTGCAAGCTAAAATAGCTAGCGGTGTGCCTGTTAAACTTGGAGCTGGCAATTTACCTGTGATCGGCAGCAGCGGTGGCACTATTCAGATAGCGACCAGTCCTCTCTCGGGACAAGGAGGCAAACAGCCCGTGTACAAGATCGTAACAGCGAAATCTGGGGAACAAGCCACGGTCGTGACATCGGCGGCCGGTGGAGTCTCAGCAGGAGCGACAGTTTTGCGGCAGGCTGGCGGTAACGCCGGTATTCCTGTCATTATTAAAAAGACCCCTGGAGCTAATGCTCAAGCGAGCTCATCACCCCAATACGTAACATTAGTCAAGACTTCCACAGGCATGACGGTCGCTACGATGCCCAAAATGGCCATGGTTCAAAACCGACCGGTGGTATCGAGTGGGGCGCAGGCACAGGGAATTGCTCCAGGTGCGACGTTCGTCAAGTTGGTGTCGGCCAACACGGTTGGGGGCAACAAAATAATAACTTTACCCTCAAACGTCCTTCAACTGGGAAAGTCTGGTGTGGGCAACAAGCAGACAATAGTTATCACAAAATCAGGGACACAAGCACAGCAGGGACAACAGCAGTGAAAGGGTCAATGTGAGTGGTTATAAGTGTCTTATTCTGAAACTGAAGTGAATCAATGAAAACTCTGAGTTTTATATGTTATCAAAGGGTAGAAAGATCCTCGTAGTTGTAATTGAAATATTTTATTTACTTGTAATGTTTTATATTATTATAGATATCTATATATCGCTTTACATATGTGACAATCTGGCAAACAATTTCATTGTTAAAATTTTTTGGGTCATAACCATAATCTTTATTTATTATCTTCGCGATACCTTTTCATAGCAATACAACCTATGGTTTTTCAAATTTATAACAAATATCAGTATTTATATAAATGAATTCTTTCAGTCTTCCTGGCACTGCGGGTGTGTCGGAAATACCACTTTGGTATTATGAAAGTAAGAGCTACTTCGCAAGTGTAATCACAATAATGCACTATTTATATTTATGTGACAAGCCATTGTTATTGTTGTGGTATTTTTATTTTGGGTCTGTGGTGAGTCTGTGTGAACTTGTTTGATGACTTAGTCTGAGGCTACTTTGTAGACGCTCCACTGATCTGAAAATGTATAATTTACATTCTGATTATGATGGAAAGTAAAGTAGTACATTATGATTTTTGGTGTTGTGAAATAAATTTATTTAAGAACAATAATCTATATAGATTATTATGAAAATTTCACATTACTTCTTCCTTTAAACTTTACTCTTTATCATACTCTTATAAATTCTATAATATTGATAGGTGCAATGATTTTGATGTATTTGGTTGTAAAACTAAGAATTTTACTGGATAACCTTTCAAAATATTAAAATAAATTGTGATTTTTGTAATTCCAGATTTGTGCTATATTTAGATTCACAATCTTCAAGCGTGGCATATAAGTATGAAAATCACATTATTATTTTCAAAAACAGTGTGCTGAATACCCTAACTGTGTTTAGTGGATAAAAAAGTGAAAATTATTTGTATAACATACAGATGTCGTTTCTTACAATTAAAACAAATTGAGCCTACTCATATGCACATGCCCTAAGGGTCACCATATTTACATGGTGTAATATACTTTATCGATTTTTATTACTTTAAGTACATAATATATAATTGACATAATATATTTTAAAGAGGTGCAGAGTATATTTTCATAATTTATCAAAATCTCATTATAAAATGGTAGGACATAATTAATAATGTATGTCAAGTGAATTGGATTTTTTATTTTTCTATTTCAGGAGCAAATTGAAAACATATTCTGCAATTTAAGATAAGTTAGTTGTATGTTAGACTAGGTAGCGAGCTAAGTAAGGAACAGAATGTAAATATCATTAAGTAGGTAATGTTATAGTTTGTTCATAATATTATGTTCATTTTGCTTGAATAAACGATTTGGATAAAGTGTGACTTTCCCTTGATTGCACCTATGCTTCTAAACTACAACTTATCTAAAGGGATCTTGTCTGAATTGTGCTTTATTCTATTTATCAAACAATAAACAAAGATTTACTGATACAGGATTATAACATACCAAATACACTATCCAAAATCCACATTCTTTAGGTAGCATTGTTTTTAAAATTTTGAAGTTATAATTATAGTTTTGATGTACACGACATCTAGCGGGGTTTTATGACATTGTGTTATTTTTCCTCAGAACAGCCCTTTTAAATTTAGCGCCATTTAGTTTATCCTCTGAATATTAGATGTCGTTAATATTGTTGCAGTTGAGCACTTTATTTAAGAAGAAAATTTATATTAGTGCCCTGTTGCAAAGGTTTTTTTTTTATATAAAAGAAGGTCGACTAGAGATTCCTTAGACAATTATTTCTGTATTCCACAATACTTACTTGTATCAAGGAAATCCTAAATTTTCCAACCAATACATATTCTGTTGGGCAGCTCAAATTTTAGTGCTGTATATCATTGATATATGAGTGATATTTAAAAAAAATCTATGTTATTATAATATTATAAAGCTGAAGAGTTCGTTTATTTAAAATCACTCAGGAACTACTTACTGGTACGAATTGAAAACATATTTTACTGTGTTATTTAGGACATTTATCGATGAAAGAAAACAACACGCTTAACCGATTAACAAAATGTACGATAATATATGTCTATTATTAAGATTAACTTGAAAGGCGACAAGGAGGACGTTTGAAATAACAAAATTTGATGCCCAAAATAACCACTCTACGCGACCGCTGCGTTTAAAGGGAAGTTTTTGATTTTTTTTAATGATAGTGGTTTATCAGGGCCATTTTTTATTAATTTCTGAGACTAGTACGATATTGGGAAAAGACTATTGTCTAGAACCTGGATTATAATATTAAACATTCTCTTCTGAAACTCTATTTAACGCAAGGGGTTTTAAATGCAACAATAATACATGTATCTTGAATTAGACGCATGAGTGACCATATTGTAGTTTATGGCTTCATTATTTCAATTGGTAAAGGCGAAATCTAGTTTACCTAAATATGAAACTTTGATTTAGAACATGATATTTAAAGCAATTTAGCATTCCGTTCTTTGGCAAAAAACACGCTATACTATTATTTTATTTAAATAAAAAAAACATACATATAGTATAACAACCAGTCTTAAGATTATAGCAAAAGCATTAATATAATTATTCTTATAATATTCAGCCTAGCAATCCACATGTGACTATGTTCAAACAACTTCTCTTCTCTCCTTCAGGCTTAGCAGCAACTACTTTTTTCTTCTTTTTTCCATTTGCATCATAATGTTTTTCTTCCTGTTTAAAACAATGAATTTTTTTATATATTTCGCGTACATACACTTGAAAAACATTAGAAGACACTTCTATCTTTTTCTTACATAATATTGAAGTAGATATAATATAAAAACATAACATTATAATGTTTATACCTACTGACCATGAATCACTTTATAGTTTAATAAATAACTTTTAACGAATATTGGAAATAGCTACCTCAGGTAGTTCACCAATTTTGTACTTGGCGAGGATGGTGTAGGCGTCTGACGTGTGACCAGCTTCTTGGAACACCTTGGTGGTGTCTGTGCCAGCCTCATCCGTGACCAGTTCCGGCCCACCAGGGTGCTGAAATATGTTTTTAGGCGTTCCTTAATATAATGCTATTCAATATATTATGCATGCATATGCAATGTGTAGGCTAATAATAATCAACGTCGTGGTTTTGATCCCCAACGGGTTCAAGATGTTAGTAATCAATTTATATAATTATAAACAACCTCAAACATTTTGATATTAAACGTTTTGATAAATATGTTCCACAGATGTTTTTTTCGTCCCAAGATCTTTTAAGAATAAATATAAAGTTATAATTAATAAAAAACTGCAAGAACCTACTAGCAATTAGGTATTTAGAACTAGTTGAATATAATTATCAGTGTCAGACTTAAAACCTCGTCAACGTATTTGGTGCAGTCATAAACGGAGTCCTTGTATATGATCCACACGGGTGCGCCGTTCTTTCCGTTCTTCGTCGCTACCTCAGCGCGACTATACCTCTGCACTTCCGCCATTTTTCTGAAAGGAAATTCCAATTGTCATTTGCAAGTAAACCGTGATTGTAACGTTACATAAAATATTGTTTACATTGTTGACATCACACACATGATGAGGCATCACACAGTAAATATAATATTTATTTAATAGATTGCGATATATAAACAGTAAAATAGAAACCGCTAATTAATCATATCATAAATCATTTTAATCAATTCTCGATTAAATCTAAAAGAGATTTTCAATTATTAAGATACAGTCTACAAATAAGTCCCAAAAAATGTTATAAAGTAGACCACTTTAGTTATCAAATGTTACTATTTAACACAGTGAATGTATTAACGTAATTATAGAACGAATATTTAATGTTTTTTTTAAATTTCAATATGCTATTACTTCAAAATATTCCCGAATCAAAAATCCGAAAAATGGATTCAATAAAAAAAATTGTAACATTTTGGCAAAGTAATTGTTAAAACATGTACAAAGAATTATATGACAGGGATTTAACACGTATTAACTCACGTTAATCCTAATCGGCTCCACGGCTTCCATGCACTGGCTCACGCACCAGTTGCGCCCGCGCAGTCTATCTTTGCCCTATCGCATTCTGCCCGATATCTTAGATAAAAGCCGACACTACGATATGGACAAAGTATTAGCATTAGTCTAATGGTATATGAGAGGGATAGAATTATGGAAGTAAATCGTGAATTACATATTTCTTACACTAACTTAATGCTATCCTATTTTCGTATATATGCAGTCATTATATGCATGTAACTTGTAATAAAATGGCATATATGTATAAACATTTTAAAGCTTTAATATTTTTCACATGATGGCACTATATTAATTAAAAAAAAATTACAACTCAAGCAGGACATGAACGCCTATGAAGCGATATCCACCGCGTTTCGTTCTGTTGCTCTATCGAGTTCTACGCGTCATCGTACTTTTTTGACCTATAAATGCACCTTTTGCACAATGTCATTTCAACCTTAACACATGCGTATTAAGGATTATCTATGCTTTGCAGATTAAGAAAATAATTAAAGATGAAATTACAAAGTTTTACGTTTGAAAACATTTAATATTATATTGCACCATATCAATTTTTAATCGATTTTTAATTTATATAGGAACATTTTAGATTTATTTTTACACAAAAAGTGGCCTTGAAGTGTATTTCTATAATTCTGTTAGCAAAGAATGCACAAGACGATTATATTCAACGTATTCAACGTACTGTCAATTCGTACGTACCCACATATGTGTAGATATAGAATATAGATATACTCATGCGATTTAAGTAAAATATATACGGACGTTATGTTTTGTTCTTTGTTCTCGTCAAAAATGTTTACATCGCTCTTTGCTCTAAGTTTTACTCTTCTGTTTACTGCTATGTAAGAAGTTTGATAGAGCCGAATTTCCTGATTAATTACTATAAATGCTAATCCGCATTTTTAACGTGATTTAAATTTGGATTTGTGTTTCAATAATCGTATTAATTTGATAAGAATAACTAGTAATCATACAGATATCAAGAGTCTATATCACATTAGCATCTATTCTAGACTTCGTTCGGATATTTTCATCACACATATTCATTCTTGTTATGAATTCCAGATTCTGGCCTAAATATGGTACTTTAATACTTTATTTTCTTACTAGCTGTAAATATAGTATAAAATATAAAATCAATTTTGAGCATCCAAATTTGTTATTGCAAACCTCTTTTTCATCTTTATAAAGTTAAACTATTACCACTACGCGTCGAAACGCGTCGGACGCGTCCCGTCGTTCTTGCAAGTAAATCTTTGAATCTTTTTTTAGATCATTGAAAGAAGAAATCATTCTTTCATACATATTTTTTTGGGTAACTTGAACCGTTTCCGCCACCTACGCAACGGAAACCCAGAATAATAAATAATTTTACCACGAAAATAATTACAATTGTCACATTTTATCCGCTCCTATTAGTCGCAGTGAGATATTTTATAGCCCTAAACCTCGATAAATGTTCTTACTAATACAAAAATATTTTTTCAATTCTAACTAGTAGTTCCTGAGATTAGCGCGTTCAAACATACAACCAAACCCTTCAGCTGTATATATTAGTATGGATTTTCTTTAAACCACACTCGTTGCGTGTTATAAATCTGGTTATCAATAGGAAAGTTTTCAAATGGCCAGTTACTCAACTTTTCTCATTCCCCCTCGCTATTATGAGAGGAACCGTTAAGTTACATTAACGTCTTCGAGTTAACTGTTACTGAGTGAGTAAACCTTAATACTTAATTACCGGTTACGAGCACGATATTAATACCTATTAAATACGGTGCACTAGAAGCCTTTACATGTTACGCCATTCGTTATTGTTTTCTAAGAAAGTAATATGCTTATTTAATCAATAAGTTTCTATATTAGTGTGTTTCCGTTAGAATTTAGTAATATAATAAAACCCTACAAGTAATGTACTTACCAGTTTACATTAACTAGTGTTCCTGATCCAATCTGTCGCGCAAACATCACGCGTGTTTGCTCATTGGTCACGGCTATAAAATCTATTTGGACAGTACGCCCACTTACTTATTTTTTTCGCACATTTTAATATTATATAGACCATGCATTCGCCCGTCCTCGTTTCTCAATGCGAGAGACACTGGGAATCCATGAAAAACAATAGTTCTGTCTGATGGGACAAAGAAGTTCTTACGATAGCGGTAGACAGCTATAGATAGAGATACCTGAGCCATGTAACCTATTTGATGACTACTACCTTTTGGATTAGAAAGTTCGGATGTCCACAGACTGAAGCGCGATTAAAGTTCACGCCCTTTATCTATGGGTATGATGGTTCGTAATAAGGACTATTCGATATTCTTGCCGTCCATTTAATAACCAGATTTGCAGACGAAGTAGAAACACGTTAGACCTGGTGGAAATAATGAACCTGTTGATGATCAGCATTGCTGCCATTTGACCAACGAGCCCACTAAAAGTCTAAATTTATCAGATATAGATATGATGTCCGTTATTACCACACCGGGAATCGACATATATTTTGGTTTCAGTCAAAGCTAACGTCGCACACCACATTCAATTTATTAAAATAACGAACCATTTGTTACCTTAAGTAACCTCCTTCCTATCCTTTTATGCTTTTAAGTTCTTATTTCCTAACCTACATATCGGACTACAATTTATTCGCCCAAATGTCTACACATACTCCAACTCTTGTAATAAAATCACTAAACAAGTTATTTTCTATTTCTTTTCTCTTGTACGTCAGGTTGCCTGGAAGAGACCACTATTTAACGATAAGGCCCCTTTTTTTCCTCATTAATATGTATTTTCTGTGGTGTGTTGAATAAATAATAAAGCAATAAATAAAATCAATATTATTTAGTTTTTATCGAAATAAGAATATTTTCAATCAATATAGCGTAAAATTACATAGTTTTTTTTTTAAATGACATAAATATAAGATAATTTAAATAGTACTTCTCCCTAATAAAGAATAGTGAACATAAAAATTAATATCTTGTCGCGCCACCAATAAGTGTAAAATGATAGGGCTAAATAAAACGATACTAAATTCTTAATTGAATCTGCCATATAACAAATATTTATGTTACACATGAATGCTTAATTGGTCTCATAACTTGTATCTAAAGCTTAATAAAAACGCTAAGCAATACATAATAGTTTTATGTAAGACAGTACGTCTTTGTAAATTTACAGTTATTAAAGACAAATGTAGGCCAGAAAACATAATATGTCTTCTCTCGTTCCCTCTATATTCGTTATTCTACTGTGACAAACGTTATGTTTTCTAATACAAATGTCAAAGTTGACAATTGACTTGAAGTTACACGAGGCGAGACCTGAGATTGAGGGAATTTACGAAAGATTCTCTGATTTTGTACCATTAAAAGTACAGAGGTAATTTCGCCATATTCAGTAATACTAAGTGAGTTTTACCTTATATTATGGAATACATTAATTAGTGAAAACGGGGATCTAGATGGGAAGTGGACTATTGAGCGTTCAGTAGTTTATAGAGGTCGTTTAATTTACGATTGTACACGCCCGTTAACAGTTGCCAACAATTATTCTACTTTATGGACTCACATCAAATTGTTATTATTACTTTATTTCTTGACTCGTGGAAAATAATATATTTCTCTGTTTGTCCTATATCAATAAAATAAAAAAATGCAATAGATTTTATAGATATTGCTTTAACTATGAGAAAACTTATGAAAACAAGGGACAAAAGAAATATATAGAATACTTCATTTTTATAAGTTAATTTCGGTATGTTATACATTGCGATGGGTACAAATAGGAAGTGAAAAAACACACATACCCAACATATTTGATATACAAATTTCCAGATTTCTTCTTACATTTCAAGTTATCTTTTTATGTGATAATCATCATGTAAGAAACGTAAAGCTCTTGACAAAGTGGTTCTTTTATTATGCATAAGATTTGACAGACCTATAACAAAAACACTTTCGCTTCTTGGTAGACATTACTCGTCATTGTATTCATAAGTTAAAAGAATTAATTAAGGACGGAACTTAAATACAATGCCCAAAAGACAAGTAATTGAGCGCGAAAAGTTAACGAAGCAATTAAAACAATTGAGATAGTTCTTTCTCTTTTTAAACGACAATTTTAAAGCTCTTGGAAGTTGATTTCCATATTTTTTCGCTTTCAGCTCTTAAAATGAACTTAATGCTAATTAACCGACTCTGGGCGGTTTTCTATAGAATTCATGAAAACTCAAAATATTGATTTACAAAAATTGCGCTGATCTTAAAACAATATTCAAAACTATTTTAAATTTACTTACTATTAATAGTCTAAGTTACGTTATGTTGATTTTAAACTTATTTAAAAATAATTATTGAGATTGATTATTTTCTTTATATATAGACTAGATTAGAAAATAAATTCTTTAAGCTTTCTATACAACTGTTACTTTGTTATTTCACAATTAACAATTTTTTTACTGTGGAGAATACCCTTTAGTTTGCATGAAATTATATACTATAACTATTATGCTGACCTTGTATCTCTTAATTTTAGGACGTCATCGACGACGTCACGAGATTTTATGAAAAGAGGCGGGGCCTGTCGTGTCTTGCGCTGAAAAACTCCGCCCATCGCCCGCGCGAAAGCCAACGACTATAAAAGCGGTTTCAGGCTGAAAGGGCAACAGTTCAGTCCGTGATTCAGGCGGAGAGTTACCGCCTGTTCTCGCAAACTTTACCCCGAAATACAACGGTAAGCCATTTATGAGAAATTTCCTATTTGGGATCATGGCGTAGGTAGGATTATGATAAAAAGTATATGAAAATACATTGATTTTATTTCTATATAAAGAGAAATTAATATTAAGAGGTTTAATTAATATCGTAGGAGAAAATTTTACAATTTTTAATGCGTAATTCTTTGTGTCTATTTATTATTTGAGTACACATAACGAGCATTTATTTTTCGTAAAGATGTGTGGCGTATAGCTAAACCCTGAATTATCGAATATAATATACCATATTTCCATAGTTCCATATTTTATTGCTTTTAATTAATATAAAATACACTTACTCAACTACTTCATACGGCACAATAGCTGCGAAACAAAATATATACATACATTAATTACGAAATGACCATAACGAAATGTAGATAATAACTTACTAGTTATTTTGTAAAATTATAACGGCAGGTACAAAATACGCTAACCACAGTTTCCAGCCCGCCCACCGCGCTCTTTATTAATAGTATCAAAATCGAGTAGTACTTTAGTATATAATTTAAATCAAAGTTCTGTATTTCAATAAAAATGGTGAAAATCTCGAGCCACAGACGTTCAAATCACGACTTCAAAGTTTGTATCTTTCGCTAAGTCAACACAAAAAGGCCCCGAAAACTTTCCGTCTAAAGCTTTTGTTTCGAGAGTCGTCGAACAGAAGATATCTTTGAGGGCACCGCTGAAACCTTTTTAAAAATTTGCGTTTTTCTTATCTCAATATTTAGGGATACATGAAAGAGATTGATAGACTAATTTAAAAGTAATTTAGTCAAATCTACTACTCAACCAAAAGTCTGGGCTAGATTTTTGGTTGAGTAACAATGTGATTCGTTAATTTCAACGTCCCTATACCCTAGTTACTAACATACATAGTGATCTTCTACTGAGAATAAGTCTCATTTCTCATACAAGAGAGAGTTTTTAGAGCGTGTTAGAATTAAATTTGTGATGAGGACCGGTTCCGACGGCTTGATGTACTCTACGCAAGAAGGTCCTCCAACTTCCAAACTCTGGAATTGTACGTAACGTTTAAAAAAAACTTGCAAATACGAAACTAGTATTACCGGAATTCGAACCGGATTTCATTGTAACGTATCTGCGTTGAAAAATGCCCAACAGATTAGTCTATCATAGAAATATCCCTATGTATTATAAAAAGTTGAACAAAAATTATTAAGAAATACATCCAGTATATATACTCAGTGTACTCCGTACAGCCTTTGAATTGGCAACTGCAATCTGGATTTGTATTGAACTGTTAATTGGGACACGTGTAAGCTGTTCGGTTTTGAACTAGTCTAAGACCTCCGTGCGGTATTACTAATATTACTTTCTTGATATATATTCTAAAGATTATATATACCACTCGTTGGGGCTCGTTGGTGTAATGGTAGCGATTTAGGCTAATAATAACGGGTCGTGGGTTCGATCTCCTCCGAATCCAATATGACGGCTTGAACTTGACGGCAAAAACCGTCAAGTTTAATTGCGTTTCGGTTTCAGTCAGCGGATTTCCAAATATCCAAAGCCAAAATAGGTCGACTGCATTTACGAGTCTATAAATAGGTTTTTAAGGAATCATAGACAAATATTGTTATCTTTCTCTCCGTGGCTAAATTATTAAATATGCTGCTAAAGGTCAACGAGAGTAATGTAGGGTGTATATATATAATAATTATAATTTTAAAAAGTGTGATCATCTTGCTTATAAAAAAAACTATCTGCGAAATGGACACAAAAATGAATCCACCTCATGGCAACAAAGGGAAAATCAGGATCAAATTTACTTTGTACGCGTTATGATTTTAATACGAAATAAAATTCAATATACAAGGAAAATTAAGCACGAATTTTCAATAAATTAGGCTGTTTAAGATTCTGTTGCTGCGTTCAATGGAAAATTTGTAAGGGTACAAGCCTGTTATAGAATGACGAGTCTTTTATATATTTCATTGTTTAGTACTATACATTCAATTTTAACGTATATAAGTATATTGGAAACACCAGTAAAACATCATTAATATAAATTCTGGTAACTCTTGATACGATGTTCTGTTTCTTGTAAAACGAGTCAATCTACTCTAATCTTTATTGTCAATCTTATTCACGAACCAATTGATCAAAGGGATTCAATCTCTCGTAATGCACAGAAGTTATTTTACATAATTGCAGACGAAATTGCTTTTCGTTGAATGAATTTTCT